CCACGCCGAGGATCGTCATCTGCGACACAGAGATGGCGCCAACGGCGACGGCGATCGCGACGTAATAGTAGGCGAACACGTGACTGCGCGCCCAGATCTCGGCGCTCGTCTCGCTCTGCGCGAACACTTCGACGAACGCGCCGAAGATGAAGGCATAAATGGGGACAATGAGTCCGTAGAGAAGCGACAGCGCGAGACCCGCGAAGATGTAGAACTTGTCGGCCGCGAAGAGCGCGAACAACCGCTTCTGCGAGAACTTCTTCAGCACCTCCTCCTCCAAGTCCACGCCCACCAACACCTCCGCCTCGTCCGCCACCTGATCCCCGCTCTCCACTTCTTCGCTCTCGTCCGCGTCCGTCACTTCCGGTTCGGCGGCCGCGCTCTGTTGGCGGACGAGCGCGTGATACACGCCTTTCCGCTCCAACAGCTGCGCATGCGTTCCCGTCTCGACCACGCGGCCCGTCTCCATGACGACGATGCGGTCGCAGTTGACGACAGTGGACAGTCTGTGCGCGACAACAACACTCGTGCGCCCTTTGGACGCTTTTTCCAGCGCCGTCTGCACCACAGCCTCGGAGCGCGTGTCCAGCGCCGACGTCGCCTCGTCCAGCAGCAGCACTTTCGGCGCGTTTATCAGCGCACGCGCGATCGCTATTCGCTGCTTCTGGCCGCCCGAGAGTTGCGCGCCGCGGTCGCCCACGCGAGTGTCCCATTGTTGCGGCAGTTTCGCCACGAACTCCGCGGCGTTCGCTTCTTGCATCGCGCGCTCCACGTCCTTGTCGTCCACCAGTTTGGAGTGCGAGCCCAGAGCCACGTTCTCCCGAATGGTCGTGTCGAAGAGCGCCGGCTCCTGACCCACGGCGCCCATCTGTTGGCGCAGATACTGCACGTTCCACTCGCGCACATCCCTGCCCCCCACACTGACCACTCCCCCGTTCGCGTCGTAGAAGCGCTGCAACAGCTGCAACACTGTGCTCTTCCCACTGCCGCTCGCGCCCACCAGCGCCACACTCTCGCCCTCTGCAATAGTTAACGAGAAACCGTTCAGAACCTTCACTTCCGGTCGCGAGGGATACCAAAAGTCCACGTTCTTGAACTCGATCTCGGCCCTGATTGGCTCCGGCTTGACTCCTCCCTCTGACGTCACGTCGATGAGCGGCCGTCGCTCGATGGTGGCGAACACTTTGGCGGCCGTCGCCCGGGCAACGGCGATCGCCTCGAAGTGCGGCGCCGCGCCCCCAATGGAGAAGCCGGCGCCAGAGACGCACCAGAACACGATGACGATGGTGCCGATGGTGTAGTCGCGCGACTCCAGAATCATCTGGACGCCGAACCAGATGCCGAGCGCGAGCCCCGCGTAGAGACACGCGAACATGAGTCCGTTTCCCAAACCCGTCATCAGGTTCCGTCGAATCCCGCTCCGCATCGCCGGCAACAGGTGGCGCTCGTAGCGCTCGCTCTCGTGTTGTTGGGCGCCGAACGCCACGACAGTGCGGATGCCGCCGATCGCCTCCTCGGCCACAGCGCCCGCCGCCGCGTACGCCTCCACCTCTTTGCGCGCGAACGTCGCCTGCACCTGAGGGGGAGGGTTAGTGACACGTGACACAGACAACACAAGGACAAACCTTGTTCATGACGGAAGTGCCGAACGCGAGGAACGGCAGCAGCGAGATGATGATGAGCGTCAGTTTCCAGCCGTAGATGAAAGCGGTTGCTATGGCGATGAGCGCGGTGCTGGCGTTGTACACGGCCAGACCGAACTTCTCGTTCATGCCGTCCTCTATGCGCTTCAGGTCTCTATCGGGAGAGGAGAGTGAGCACAACACTCGACGACAGCGACACTCACGTGGTGACAGTGGAGGCGAAGGCCGTGTTGGCGTTCTGGTCGTGCCACGCGACCTCCTGGCGCAACAGCGACTCGAAGTAGCGGTTCTTTATGCGCCGGATCTGGTTGTTGGCGGCGCGCGAGAAGAGCAGACAGATGAGGAAGTTGGCGACGAAGTTGAGGATCCAGAGCGCGAGCAGCGAATACGAGAAGAAGTAGACGTCGCGCAGGAATTCCGCGGTTTCCACTTCCGAGGCATTGTTGCGCGCGTTCCTCTCGAACGCGACGAACACGTCGACGACGTCCCCGAAGGCGACGGTCAGCAAATTCCAGGAGAAACCGGTGATTGTGGCGATGATGGCGCCCAACACGACGAAGATGCGGTCGAAGGTGTCCGCGAATGCAAACTATGAATGAGAGCGAGAATGAGAGAAGATTGAGATGTAATATTGGACTCACGAGTTGTCGAATGGAAAGAGATTTCCGCGCTTTTGGTCTGAAATCGGAAAAAGAGTTAATTTTACGGAAAATTCGGTCAAAATCTCACGTTTTGTCGCTTTTCATGATTTCTTGAGAAAAATGCGTTTCAAATGAAAATTCAAGATTTCATTGAAAGTGAAGGACGAGAGAAAGAAAAGCGGAAATCCCGCGCAGGAGTCAAGGAGGGCCGGTTGCGCGCGTGCGCCGCACCTCCAATACCAGTCTCCAACGCCACTCCAAGGATCGCCTTTTGTTTGACCGAAAATTCGCCGAAACTTCGACTTTAGGGAAGTTTGCGCGCAGAGCGCGTGCGCCGAGTGTGACGTCACAAGTGTTTATCAGAAAAGTACTCTTTATTTGAGTGCAAAAAATGTTTCGAAATCTGAAAACACTTCTCGTGACAAACAATCGCCGAATTATGTCCACAACGAGTGGTCAGAAGCGGTTGGCGGACAAAGTGGCGATCGTCACGGCCAGCACCGACGGGTAACTGCTTCCTGTCCACTCCTATATAGTGTTCTCTTGTTCTCTCCTCAGCATCGGTCTCGCGATCGCCACCCGATTGGCCGAAGACGGCGCGCGCGTTGTGGTCAGCAGTCGGTCAGTGAGTCGGCCATCAATGACGTGTGCGCTAACAGTGCTTTGTTCAGGAAGGAGGCGAACGTGGAGAAGACGGTGCGCTCTCTGCGCGCGAAGGGACTCCAAGTGACGGGCGTCGTGTGTCACGTGGGCAACCGGGAGCACCGCCAACGCCTCCTCCAGACAGTAACATGTGTTTCGTAACTCTGTCCACTCCTAATCCGTTCTTTCCCGCAGACTCTGCGCGAGTTCGGCCAAGTGGACGTGTTGGTGTCGAACGCCGCCGTCAACCCCGCGTTCGGCGCCTTCCTCGACGTGAGTCATGACAATCACGTGATTCCTTCTAACGCTTTCTCTCTTTCAGACTTCGGAAGAGGAGTTCGAAAAAGTAAGAAATCTCCGAAACCTCGCCCTCACACTCATTGTTGCGTTCAGATCCTTTCAGTGAACGTGACGTCAGCCTTCCTCTTGACCAAAGAGATCGTTCCCGAGATGCGCGCTTACGGGTCCATTGTTTACATCTCTTCCATCGGCGCGTATCAGCCGTGAGTATGACGTCATCCCCACCGCCAGTCACGTGACCCCCTCTCCCGCAGCTTCCCTCTGATTGGCGCGTACTCCGTGTCCAAAACGGCGCTTCTCGGCTTGACCAAGGCTGTGGCCAATCAGTGTAAGCCATTTAGAACAACAGCCAATCCCTGTCTCACTCTCCCCCGCAGGCGCCGCCCTCTCCATCCGCGCCAACTGCATCTGTCCCGGAATCATTCGCACCAAGTTCTCGGACGCCTTGACCGGAAGTGAGGCCGCGATGGAAGAGATCGAGCGCGTGGTTCCGATGCAGCGAATCGGGGCGCCGGAGGACATCGCGGGCATTGTGGCCTTCTTGGCCTCAGACGACTCCCGATATCTGACCGGAGAGTCGATTGTTGTCGCGGGCGGACACTATTCGCGACTTTAGACACGAGACGCCAATCGAGAGGCGATTTGAAGACATTTTGTTAAACTTTAGGAATAAATAGTTTTTAGTTTTCAAATGTTTGTTTACGTTTCGTTGGTTTCCATGGAAACCAAAACACAAACAACAAAATGAAGAAAACGTTTTCTTCGAAACAAAGCGCGAAATTGCGACAAATTCTGGACAAAAATGAGACCAAAGTCGCGAGAGTGGAATCGCCGGACACCAGGAGTCGATCGCTGGCCACGCGATCACGTGATCGTCTCCTCTATTCGCGCTTTCGGGCGATNAAAGCGCGAAATTGCGACAAATTCTGGACAAAAATGAGACCAAAGTCGCGAGAGTGGAATCGCCGGACACCAGGAGTCGATCGCTGGCCACGCGATCACGTGATCGTCTCCTCTATTCGCGCTTTCGAGCGATAAACGAGTTTTTGTATTCGCATTCAACGCAAGAATCGCGAGCTTTTCTCTCGTCTTCCCTTTTCGCCACTTATCACCAAATCTATCGACAAATCGCAGAGAAATGGCCGCAAAAACCCGTTCATCACGTGATACGCCGTCTCGAGGTTTGTTGCGCTTTATGAAGCACTCCCATTCACTCCTCTCTCCCTTTTTAAGACGCTTCCCGCCGACCACGTGATCGCAGACATCGGTTGCGGAGAGCGCGCGCTCATTGGCCAGCACTTCCCCGAACGCGTTGTCCACTCCTTCGACTTGGTCTCCGCCGACAGTCACGTGACTCGCGCAGACATGGCGTCTCTGCCGCTGCCCTCCGCCTCGCGTGACAGTGTTCTGTCTGTCGCTAATGGCGACGAATCTCAAACACTGTCTGAAGGAAGCGAATCGAGTGATGAGAGCCGGAGCGCGACTCCTCATTGTTGAGGTGACGTCACGGTTCGAGGAGACGTCTGTCGCGGAGTTCGCGCGCCAAATGCGCTCTTTTGGGTTCCGGCTGCGCGCGCAACGCCACCTCTCGGACGACCAGTACTTCGTGTTCCTCGAGTTCGAGAAGAGCGGCGATTGTTCCGAAACTCCGCCCGACGTCAGCCTCAAGGCGTGTCTCTACAAGAAGCGCTGAACGCGCGGCACTATTGTTGCAATCATTTGAGTTTTTCGAAATAAATTTATTCAAACTAACAATACGTGATGTCTGTGGAGAACGCGCCGCAGATCCGCATCTCCCTCTCGCTCAGCAAACAATACATTCGCTGCGGAGAGTCACGTGACCACTGGTGCGGCGCTTTGGCCGCCGCGCGCACAATGAACTCTTTGGCCGTCGCTTTCGGCCAGAAGTCTCTTCTGTCGCTCCTCTCGCCAACTGTCGTCTCTTCCTCGTATTGGTGGCGCTCGCAGTGGCGGAACAGCGCGCGCACCACTTCCGCCTCCGCGCTCAGACTCGAGAATTCCATTTCCGGTTCGGAAACCAGTTTTCGCGCCATTCCTCCCGAAACGCTCTTCTCGCACGTGACCAACTTCCGCTCCAACGCCTGCACTCGCAATATTGTTGTTTCCGCGCGCGACAACTCCGCAACAAACGCCTCCATTCCCGCGCTCTCGTATTTGGCGATCAGAGCGCGCGACTCTTCTGCTCCCAATCTGTTGACGGTTGTCATGACGACCAGCGGTTCCAACAGTTCCACCGCTTCACTCGTTGAGCGCGCGTCCAACCAATGGAACACCTTCTCTGCGTCGCGCGTGAAGTCGAAAAGGGGTTTCTGGCGCTCGACAGGTGTCGCGGCACTCGTTTCCCACAACTCGCGCCACACGTTGTCTTCGCTTCGAAACCTTTCGCTCAGAGAACACGTGACTTCGTCGAAGTCTCGAGGAGAATGCCAGCGAATGAAGTCCTCGAACGTGACGTCACAGCCGTTCGCCGCTTTGAAGGCCGACATGTCGGAGCAGAGGGATTGGCTCTGGAGGCGCGCGCGCACTCTGGCGCCGTCGCCCTCGGCGGCCAAGCGCTGCAGAAGCGCCATCTGCTCGGCGACCATGTCTTCGGTGACGGGCGGCGTCTCCTGAGTCTTCGGCACCAAAAGCGCTTTCTTCGGGTTTCGCAACAAATAGAGAGCGCGACACTGAGTGGTCGTCTCCGACGTCTCCGCTGTCGTCGTGTCGTCACAGCAGTCGAAGAACTCGTCGTTCTGCTCTTCAATGCGCGCGAGAATGCATTTCTGCAGAAACTGCAACTTCTGGTGAAACAAACAGCGCTTCAAATCGGGAGAACACGTGACGTGTGGCAGTGGACGCGCGCTCTCCCAATAATGTCTCAGTTTTGAACACATTTCGCGCCAAAAAGCGCTCAAAACTTCTTCCGATTTCTCTTTCGACAAAATGTTCAGAAAATTGGTCGCAATTCGCGCCGAAAGACTGTTTGTTGGCGCGCTCTTCATGTCCGGCCATTCGTTTCCTTCCATTTCGTGCTTTTCGTCGAAAACCCAGTTTTCGATCAAATTCGGCGTCGAATCCATTGATGACGTCATTTCGCGCGGATTGTGTGCCAACAATGCCATCGCTCGCAATGAACGCGTGAGCGGGCCGTCGACGTCGCGGAACAGCGCCCGTAGTGTCCAGAGGGGGGCGGAGTCGGGAATGAGGTCGGAATGGATGTCCGAATCGATGACCACTTCTTCGCACACTTCCGGCCACAGCGCCGCCATTTGCAGCTCCAACACCGGCTCCTGGTCTTCCTTCCATTCCGGCGGCCATTTTGTCACCGAATAAGTGATTCGAATCGAGAGTCGAATCGGAATTGAATTCGAATTCACTTTTCGTCGAAAAACCATTAAAAGCGCCGAAAGGTTGCGAAACGGTTTCGTCACGTGATTCGCGTGTATCACGTGATAGTCGACGCGAAAGCCGTTCTCGAGTTTGACGCCGAAGAAGGCGTTTCTCTTCGAAGGCGACAATTGGACGAAAACGGGAAGCGCGCGCGCAGTGGACGCCAACGCCATCGTCACCCCAGACAGCAGCAGAAGCGCGCGATCCTCCGAAGCGATGGACGCGTCGTTTTGCGCGCGAATCACGAGAAAGCGCTTCTCTCCGAACCAACGCTCCAAACAATGACTTCGCGGCCGAAAGTCGCGCTCAGATTCGGCTGCAATGAAACGCAATTCAAACCAAATGCACAGCCAATCAGAGACTCACTTCCTTCGTGGTGGCGAACGCTCAACACGTGACTCGACATCCTGACCACGCCTTCCGTCCAATCAGAGTCGCGCAGCACTTCCTCGAAGTGCGCCGCAAACGTCTCGAGCGCTCCGATTGTCGTGAAGTCCGAGATCTCAAACACTTCGCCCATTGTTGACACGACCAGTGCTGCCATCTGTCGCCCCACACCACGTGACTCGCATGATGGTAGTGAAGCGCGTGTTGAATGCGCTGTATTCGCCGAAGTGGTTGATCGCGACCAACACCACCACTGGCGCCCTCTTTCTCGGCGCCGGCGATCTCATCGAACAGCAGCTCATCGAACGCCGGCTTCTGCTCCGCGCGCAACACTTCGACGCAAACAGAACTCGTATTTTGAATCACTTTTCAATTCATTTTTCTAACATTTTGTCCGCTTTTCAGTCGGAATGACTTTTACGGGAATTTATTTCGGATTACTTCTGCTCCGCGCGCAACACTTCGACGCAAACAGAACTCGTATTTTGAATCACTTTTCAATTCATTTTTCTAACATTTTGTCCGCTTTTCAGTCGGAATGACTTTTACGGGAATTTATTTCGGATTTTGCGGACATTTTTGGTACAAATTCCTCGACAAGCGCTTCCCGTCTTCGGCGCGCAAACACCTGCTCCAGAAGCTGTCGTGCGAGGCGGCCATCGGTCCGCCATTCGGCGCTTCCGTCTTCTTCATCGTCGGCCAATGGGAAGGAAAGCCCGTTCGGCAAAGCCTTCGCGAATTGCGCGCCAACCTCGCGCTCCTCTGCCTCGTGAGTGTTGTCGCCACTGTGTCCCCCACTGACCCTCTCTCCCCCCTTTAGGCCGACTGGTGTTTCTTCATTCCTCTCCAGACCTTGAATTTCGTGTTTCTTTCGCCGAAATTCCGAATTCTCTTCGTTTCCGTGATTTCCATTTTTTACGACACTTTTCTCTCTTATATTCTCCACACGACAGATGGCGACACAACTCAGCCTTAATTGTTGTTACGATTAGTCAATAAATAGTCACTAAATGTAAATTGCATTCAATTTCATTCAAAGGGGCGAACAATAGTTGAGACGTTTTTCATGTCGTAATTTGTGTTCACATTTGTGTCGTCTTTGAAAACATGAATTCTTTGACACGAATCGCGATTCAGAGTCTCTTTCTGCGGACGCGCTGTCCTCTGGCGGCCGCCAAGCGCTCAGTGATCGGCACTTCTCACGCCTCGCAGCGCGACGACGAGGTCTTCACTTCCAAACTCAGCGGAATCGACGCCGGAGTTGTCGTGAGTGTCGTCTCGAACGTCGCTGTCGTCTCTATTGTCTATTGTTTTGATCCGCAGGTTCTGTCCCTCAATCGCCCGAATGGCGCGAACTCTCTGTCGCGAGGAATGGCGCGACTGTTGAACGAAAGTCTGTATCAGTTGTCGAAAGACGAAGAGCTGCGCGTTCTCATCATCCGCTCGACGGTTCCCGGCATCTTCTGCGCCGGCGCTGACCTCAAAGAGCGCGCGACGATGCCCGAGAAGGACATCCCGCCCTTCGTGGCCAAACTGCGCGCCATCGCGAACGCCATCCACGACTTCCCGTTCCCCACCATCGCCGCGATCGACGGCGCGGCCATTGGCGGCGGCCTCGAGTACGCGCTGGCGGCGGACCTGCGCGTGACCGCTTCCAACGCGAAGATGGGATTGGTGGAGACGAAGCTGGCCGTGATTCCGGGCGCGGGGGGGACGCAGCGGCTCTCGCGCCTCATTCCCCTCCATCTCGCGAAAGAACTCATTTTCACCGGACGTCTCATTGACGGCCACACCGCGTATCAGATCGGAATCGCCAACTATTCGGTGGAGCAGAACGCCAATGGCGACGCCGCCTACCGGCGCGCCGTCAAACTGGCCGAAGAGATGATCCAGAACGGCCCGGTGGCTTTGAAAGCGGCCAAAGTGGCCATCAATCGCGGCTCCGAAGTGGACCTGCAGTCGGGACTGGCCATAGAGGCGGCGCAACACACGCTGACTGTCGGCACGAAAGACAGAATCGAGGGCTTGGCGTCCTTCAAGGAGAAGCGGAGTCCGAAGTATCGCGGCGAATGAATTACGTCAATAAAATAGTAGTTTTAGCGAACGTCGTTTGTGTGCTTTCCTTTGCGCCCTTTTGCCACAACGCGCCCAACGCTGCGCCAATAGAGAGCGCGCGTCGAAAGGTCCTAAAGGCGCGATTAGAGCAGCGCTGCTTCGCGTGGAGATGTCGAAAGCGCCGAACGATCCGCTGACCACTTTCAAGCTGGTGGTGGTGGGCGACGGCGGCGTCGGGAAGAGCGCGCTCACCATCCAGTTCTTCCAGAAGATGTTCGTCACGGACTACGACCCCACCATCGAGGACTCGTATCTCCAGCACACAGAAGTCGGTCTGTATTCGCGCTCCTGATTGGTCGCTGTCTCACTCTTCCCTCGCAGACGCCGAGTGGTGCGTTCTGGACGTGTTGGACACCGCGGGTCAGGAGGAGTTCTCCGCCATGCGGGAGCAGTACATGCGCAAAGGTAGGCCAGCCGTTCTCCCGTCAACTGTGCTCATTGTTTGCCGTTTCCCAGGCGACGGCTTCCTCCTCGTCTATTCGGTGACAGACAAGCAGTCGTTCGAAAACATTCGCCATTTCTTCACTCAAATCCTTCGCGTCAAAGACCGCGACTCTTATCCCATGCTTTTGGCCGCCAACAAAGTGGACCTGGTCCATCTGCGCAAGGTCACCGAGGAGCAGGGCCGCGAGATGGCCGCGCAACTCAAGGTCAGCCATTGTTATTGCTGTCACCCTATAGTTCTTATTGACCGATTGAGCCTTAGGTGCCGTACATCGAGACGAGTGCCAAAGACCCGCCCCTCAACGTGGACGCCGCCTTTCACGAAGGTTTCCATCTCTTTGATTATTGTCTTTGATTCTAATGATTGTCTTTTATTGTAATTTCGGCTTTCGGTCATCAGTCGTGCGAATCATTCGAAATCAACCCCAAAATGGAGACAAAAGACGGAAAACATGGTTCAGAAGAAGAAGACAACGCAAGAAGTGTCACATCACGTGATCGACCGCTGAATGGCTTTTTTATTTAATTTCTGTGTTTTTGTCTTTTCTCTGAAAATGGTTTCGATTTTCAAAACTAAATTAAAATTAATATAAATCTAAATCCGACTCAAAGTTGCCTTTTGTGTTGAGCGAGACGTGAGGCGCCATCTGTCGCGTGTTTGGCAGTGAAGAGCGACTCAAAGGCTGATTATCAATAAAATGGCGAAAATTTTACGTCAAAAAACTCTTTGAATGTTTGCGAAACCTCTTCGACGGCAAGTGTTGGCAAATGTCGCGCACTTTCGCCGGTCTTTCGGGCACTTATAACGTGAGAGCCAACGAATTGGCGCTCCAGAGGAATACAAAGACCGTTCGATGTCTCGTCTACTTCTTGGACGACACGCAACACGTCTTCGAACTCGACGTAAGTCTTCGCCTGTCTCTCGCTTTCCATTCATTGTCTGCTCTTCAGAGACGCGCCAAAGGAGACCAACTGCTGGACGTTGTGTTCCGTCATCTGGAACTCATAGAACGTGATTACTTCGGCCTCCAGTTCACCGAAACCATTGCCCACAGCGGACACTCCAATGCCGTCAGTATTCACGCCTCCTTTTCCGCCCCTAACGCCCCCTTCTTTGCAGCGATGGCTCGATCCCAACAAACGCCTCCGCAAACAACTCAAGTCTTCGCGCGCGCCGTTCCTCCTCTTCTTCAAAGTCAAGTTCTATGTGACGGATCCGTCGCGACTGCTGGAGGAATACACGCGTTACCACTTCTTCCTGCAGATCCGCAAAGACATAGTGAGCGCGCGACTCGTGGCGCCGTCGGCCGCGTTGGCGCTCCTCTGTTCGCTTGTGGTTCAATGTAAGAGTTCGTTGACCTTTGAATGAGAATAATAGCTGTGAATGCCTTTCAGCCGAATTCGGGGACTTTTGCGCCGAAGAACACGACTCGCAATACGTCTCGCGCCTGAAACTAGTGCCGAACCAAAGCGCGGACTTCGAGGAGAAGGTGTCGGAACTGCACGCTCTCCATAGGGGACAGACGCCGGCCGACGCCGAACTCAACTTCCTCATCCGTGCGTTTCCATAGCGACTGCCGATTGAATACTACTAACACTTTCTTTGCAGAGGCGAAGGCGCTGGACATGTATGGCGTGGAACTGCACAAAGCGAAGGACACGAACGGCCGCGAGATCCAGATCGGCGTCTCGGGCTCTGGACTCTTGATTCTGCACAACGGCCAGAAGGCGAATCACTTCTCGTGGGCGAAGATCGTCAAAATCTCGTTCAAAAGACGCCATTTCTTCGTCCAGTTGCGACGCGAGGGCGTGAGTCCATTGTTGACCACTTTAGCACATTGTGACCGAATTCCCGATTCACAGACGGAGCGCTTCGACGCGCTGTTGGGTTTCAACTCGTGTTCGTATCGCACGTGCAAATCGCTGTGGAAGGCGTGCGTCGAGCAGCACACCTTCTTCCGGCTCCAGACGCCCAAACCGCACACCAAGAAGTTCTTCTTCTTCTTCAGTCTCGGCTCGCGGTTCCGGTATTCGGGAAAAACGGAGTTCCAGACTCTGGAAGAGAACCGCAAACGTCTTCAGCGCACAGACCGCACGTTTGTGAGAACGGCGCGCTTCCACCAAACGGTGCCCATCCCGCACATCAACAATCTCATGCTCTCGCTCTCCAACGGACAATCACGTGACAGCTTTCAATCCAATCGCATTCAAAGTACAGAATCTCCGGCGAAGAGCGCGTGGAACGCTTCCTCGCCATTTTGTCTCAAGTCGTTGCCTTTCATCGACAAAGAGGAGACCAACCGATTGTCGTCGCTCTCAGACGACTCGTCGCCCGTCCACCTGCACACCGTTCACATGCGGCCCGACGCGGACGGCCGCTTCGGCTTCAACGTGAAGGGCGGTCACGACCAGAACTGTCCGGTTCTCGTGTCGCGCGTCGCGCCCA